TTTACATGAGCGTGCAGTATTTTTTTATATACTGTTTTTACTTCCCAATGCACTGACTTCCCTCTACGTAGGGGTGCCAGCTCCGGGTTGGGAAACACCTGGAGATTTTGGAGAGGGAGCCAGGGAAGGGTGGGAAGGGACCTGAGCAGGGTATATGAGGTCATAGAATCCATCCTCCAAAGCAGCCATTTTCTCCAGGAGACCTGATCTCAGTCATCAGGAGATCAACTGTAATAGCGGGATATCTCCAGGTACCACCTGGAGATTGGCAGCCCTGTATGTCCCAGCTAGCTTTTATTTAATCATTTCTTTTGTTTTGCAATCAGAATAAATTATGGAAACTAGTCTACCATTTATTTTACAAACGTTAATAAGATTTTGTGCATTTTTCTTGGCTTATGGAATTGGAGCTTTTTACAGTAGTAGAGGATTCTAGACTCTCCTCTAAAGACCACAGGATGCACTAATTGTTTATCATGATGAAGTCTAATTGCCTTTGGTCTAATTGCAGCCTTTGATTTAACTTTTGCCTAGCTTCTTATTCACCCGAGAGGTCTCAAAAAATTGTCTATAAAAATGCTCCTAAGCATTCCATGTCATTCAGGTATGAAGGCGCCAAAGTTGACAGCACTCCAGGTAAGACTCGTATCTTCTTCTGTTTTGATCCTCAGGGCTGTTATAAATCATCAATTGCTGATCCTGGTTAAGGGACTCATACCAAAGGATTCAACAAAGTGATATGGAGTCTAACTCAGTGCATTTCTACTTGGAAGCCAGTCCCTTTGAGTTCAATAAAGTATCCTAGGATTGTAGCTTTCAGCTACTCCCATACAGAGAGGACTTCTCCTTTGGTGATAACACTGTAGATGGCTAGCACTGTGCTGCCCCTCCACTAATCTTCTGCAGTGTTACTACCATTCACAAGGTATGGAAAGGAATGGGACTTGTGGCAGGTGAACAGCCTTGATTGGGGGACAGAGATGGGAAATAGCTTTTTAAAAGATTGCAAGGGCTATATATATTACAGCAATGCAGAGACTGAGCACGTAAGAACATAAGGGAAGCCCATGTTGGATCAGGCCAATGGCCCATCTAGTCCAACAGTCTGTTAATTTATTGTATATATTCTTAACAATACTGTTCAACAATACTGTTAAATAATACTGTTCAACCCTCGGATATTAACTGAAGTTATGTGCAGGGATCATAACAGAGGTGGATTCAGATAAGGGCATAAGCCTGTGAGTTCCTATCTATACCTTGTGGCTGATAGCCACGGATGGACCTCTGCTCCATAGGTTTATCCAATTCCCTCTTGAAGCCGTCCATGCTTGTAGCCGCCACCACCTCCTGTGGGAGTGAATTCCATGTGTGAATCACTCTTTGGGTGAAGAAGGACTTCCTTTTATCCGTTCTAACCTGACCGCTCAGCAATTTCATGGAGTGCCCACAAGTTCTTGTATTGTGAGAAAGGGAGAAAGTACTTCTTTCTTGACCTGCTCTATCCCATGCATAATCTTATAAACCTCAATCATGTCACCCCCCAGCCGTTTTCTCCAAGCTAAAGAACCCCAAGCACTTCTGAAACTAAACAAACATTAACAAATTACTTCTGAATATGAGGTGGTATCCAAAACCAATTTATGGCATTGCCAGAATTTTATTCAAGTCCTTGGGCATATTCAAAGTAACTCTTTGAACATAATCCATTGTCTCTCCTCCCATAATATATTTATATGTTTATTTATTTATTAAATTAGATTTTTAAACTGCCCTCCCCTTTGGAACAGGGCCCAGGCACTTTTCATATTGGCTGTTTCCCCTCTTCCAGGTCCTAACGCATACACGATCCCCCAGGTGCTTGGACCATACACAGTGACCACAGCCACCAGCCCTAGCTACACCTTGATGGGGAAGAGTAAGCTTGGATGTTTTCATGAAGATCTCCATAAGGTAGGTTATGCACTCAGTTCATATCTGCTGTTTCTCTATTAAGTATAAAGGGAAAAAAGCATCCTGTGGTCAAGTTTTCCCTTAGCACATTTCAGTCAGGTTTGTTTTAATGTGTATCATTTGTTGCTAGCACAGTTCATACCTAGCATCACATCCTGTCCTAATATGCTATAATTGTAGAACTGCAATGGTAGAATTACATCTTCACAGAAAATGTACCAGCCTGACCATTATATTCTTTAACCCTGGGAACTGTCTTTTGAAACCTCTTCAGCACACTTTTAAGTTATGTTTCTATCAGCTTTGATTATTGCTGCAAGTCATGGCTTGCATGTGTGAGTAGGCTATCCAAGGTCCAACTCCACAGGCAGAACTTTCTGATCACATCATCAGATACATACACCTGATCCCTATAATTTGTTCACACATCTAACTGCAAGTCAACAAATGCTCAGTTAATCAAGCGATGGTAAATGAAGGTGGTGCACGTGCATGTGCAAAACCATCTCCATTCCTGCCTTAATTGGCAGTCTAGAAAAGCCAAGAAGAGGGAGAGAAAAATCTGCAGCCATACCAACCCATAAGCCCACTCCTAAAATGTTGCTTTATATTGAGCCAGACTATGGGTCCACTAGCTCTTTGAGGACTCAGGCAGAAGTCTTCTCTATGACTGGTACTCAAAATCTTTACATCTTGGTTACAAGAAATATCAGGTCTAGAAGTCAAGAAAAAGGTGAAATGTTTGGGAATAAATATAACAAATAGATGTAGTTCCTTGGTGAAAGACAACCACATGGAACTTATATTGGATATTAAAAAAGATTTGGAAAAATTGAAAAAAGTACAAATATCCCTGATGGGAAGAATAGCTACAATACAAATGAATATTCTACCAAGACTGATCTTCCTATTTCAAACAATTCCAATTCTCCAAAATCAAAAATATTTTAAAGAACTTGACAAACTGATGACCCAATTTATATGGCAAAACAAGAAACCAAGAATAAAATTGAAAGCGTTACAAGATGCAAAACAAAGAGTGGGGTTTGCATTGTCAAATTGACTTTTATATGATAAACCTTCATCACTGACGTGGTTAAAAATGGATTACATTAGAAAATATTAGACTATTAACTTTAGAGGGACATGAACTATTATTGGAATGGCATGCTTTTATTTGTTACTAGCCTGATACTTGTGCTTCACTACGATTTTAAGTTCCGTAAATCCAGTTATAATACTGATGATGTGAAGTTTGAAATGTAATATTTGTTGTAGGAATTCTAATGGAGAAGACTGTGGTATAAAAAATGAAGCGAGACATACATACTTGGGTTTTTTCTCTCTACTGAAGGACCTTTCTGTAGACTGCTGGGGCGGGCTCCCTCCTGGCTTTAAGCACCCTGCAACCACTGCTGCACCTGACAGACAACCTCCTGTTAGGTGTAGGAGGTGGGGGGAGTGTATTGGAAGCCATCAGAGAGGCTGGGCCAGCAGCATTGCTAAGGTGATCCTGCTGGGGTGGCATCCCTGATTAATTAAAGTACCCTGGTCCTGCTTTTACACCTGACAGACACTGGCCTTTCTGGTGTTGGGGGGATTGTATTTAAAGGCATCAGGAAGGCTGGGCCAGCAGCAGGGCTAAGGCAATCCTGCTGAGCAAACCTCCCCGGCGGCTGTAAGCATCCCACCTCCTCTCCTACACCTGACAGGCAGCTGCCTGTCCAGTGTAGGAGGGGGAGGGGGGAGGAGTATTAGAAGCCACTGTGGAGGCAGGGCCGGCAGGATCACTAAGGCATTACTGCTTGGGTGGGCTCCCTCGGGTCCTTTAAGCACCCTGTAATCACAGCTGCACCTGGCAGACAACCGCCTGTCAGGTGTAAGAGGTGAGGAGAGAGTGTTGGAAACCATCAGAGAGGCTGGAGTAGCAACTTTGCTTCACCTCACAGGCGGTTGGTCACTCCTGATTTCCTCAATTGTCATTAGCTCTCTGCAGTCCCCTGTAACTGGGTTTTTTTTTACCTCAGAACACTGAGCTCTGCAGCCGACCAGTCAGAGAGGGGGGGGGGGGGGTGCAGCGAGGCAGCTGCCTCGCAGCCTTATATATATATATATAGATGGGAAAGCTGATACTCATAAATATTTTAAACAACATCTCATTAGAAGACCCCTATTGAAGATATGGGAAGAAGTTAAAATACTTTTCTATACCAAGATACCAAAATGGACTTCACCATTAGAAGCGTTTAGAAACCCAAACTTACTTCAAAAAAATGTACTCTTAAGATATGAATTAAAACCAACAGAAAGTCTTAAGTT